AGTGTGTAGATGATCCAACGGGTAAGGACCCTTTGATGTTGTACACAGCCCCAAAATCATGGGATCTAACATCGATTATACCGAACTCTTTTGATACGCGGAAATATGGAGAAATTAATTTGACGTTGGGTTTGTGTTCCAAAAAGGTAAACATGGAGTAAAAATTACGCCCTTCCTACTCATTTTTATTGTTATAACCTTAGAATTGTGGACCTGGTAAACAAATTCCGGCTGCCTATACCCATTGGTATTGTCAGCATATTGATCCGCATAAACGTTTTGAGACCGAGGGGACACCATTGCCGGTAAGAAAATTAAGTGAACTCCCACCATCTCTCATTCCCCCTTCTCCCTCCATTATAGAGCAATGAACCTTTGGTCATAACCCACATGGCAACGAATCGTAATCTCGCTGCCGAAAACACGGTCATACAAACCTTATTCGGCCCGGAATTTTTAGTTTCTGTACAAAATTATCGAAATATTTTCAAACGTGAGACCTGGCAGAATTTATGGATAATCAGCAATGGGCATCAGTGTAAATAAATTTGCCAGAAAAATCCCCATACTTCGATTCTGTCACGTGATTATACAACATCGGCCAACCACTAACGCGATGGATAATAAATTTTCGAACCAAAAACACATTTCATCTATAATTCCATTAAAATTACAATCTAATTGTTTATTGGCATTTTTTTCTTTCTTGATAATCCGCCGTAAAAATAGCTGGACCCTAAACTTCGCAAATCACGCACAAATCAGCCGATTATGGAACGTGATATCAGCTTTTTTTGCTATGCCTGAAATAGGTTCGACACGTGAAAGCTGTATTTGTCGGTCGGTCGACCATTAAATGGCAACAAATGCCAGTTATAACGCTTAGTGGTTTATGGCGGCAGATAAGAGAATCTGAAATGAAAATAACTTCGAGGCGTTCGAGAGGTTTCAGATATTTGAAGAAATATTATGATTAGGCTGCACTGCGCACAGCATGTCTGGCAAAACAACAAATGATGATAAAAAAAATTTAGAAGATATCTAAGGCGTTAATTTTTTTAAAGAATATTTTTTCGAACTGACCAGAGGTGTGGCTTTTTATACCCTTCACCACACTGTGGTACAGGGTATTATGTCTTTGTGCATATGTTTGTAACAGGCAAAAATAATCGAGATAGACCCATGGTTCCTTTTGAGAATATGCATAGAATCACTTTCTGAGTCGATTTACGCATGTCCGTCTGTCCGTCCGTCCGTCTGTCCATGTTAAATTGTAAACAAAGTACAGGTCGCATTTATGATCCGAATTGGATGAAATTTGGCATAGGTCACTTATTTGGCCCAAGGACGAACCCTATTGAAATTGGGAAAAATCGGTTCAGATTTAGATATAGCTCCCATATATATATTTAACCGATTTAATGTAAACAGTCCCTATATAACTTTCGATTTGCACGAAATTTAGTACAGCCTAATCATTTAGGTCTAGAATGATGTCTGCCAAGTTTCGTGAAAATCGGTCCAGATTTAGATATAGCTCCCATATATAGTTTCGTCCGATTTCATGTAAATGGTGCCCCAAAGTCTCTATATATCTTTCGATTTGCACGAAATTTGGCATAACGTACTGAATTGAGTCTAGAATGGTGTCTGCCCAGTTTCAAGAAAATCGGTCCAGATTTAGATATAGCTCCCATATATAGTTTCGTCCGATTTCATGTAAATGGTGCCCCAAAGTCCCTATATATCCTTCGATTTGCACGAAATTTGGCATAACGTACTTAATTGGGCCTAGAATGATGTCTGCCAAGTTTCATGAAAATCGGTCCCGATTTAGATATAGCTCACATATATAGTTTCGTCCGATTTAATGTAAATGGGGCCCCAAAGTCCCTATATATCTTTCGATTAGCACGAAATTTGGTACAGCCTAATCATTTAGGTCTAGAATGATGTCTGCCAAGCTCCGTGAAAATCGGTCAAGATTTAGATATAGCTACCATATATAGTTTCGTCCGATTTCATGTAAATTGTGACCAAAATCCATATATATCTTTCGATTTGCACGAAATTTGGCATAACGTACTGAATTGAGCCTAGAGTTATGTCTGCCAAGTTTCGTGAAAATCAGTCCAGATTTAGATATAGCTCCCATATATAGTTTCGTCCGATTTCATGTAAATTGTGCACCAACATCCATATATATCTTTCGATTTGCCCGAAATTTTGCACAACGTACTGAATTGAGCCTAGATTGATGTCTGCCAAGTTTCGATAAAATCGGTCCATATTTCTATATAGCTCCCACATATAGTTTCGTCCGATTTCATGTAAATGGTTCACCAAAGTCGCTATATATCTTTCGATTTGCACGAAATTTGGCATAACGTACTGAATTGAGCCTAGAGTGATGTCTGCCTTGTTTCGTGAAAATCGGTCCAGGTTTAGATATAGCTCCATTTTATTATAGATTGATTTTATGTAATTGACGCACCAAGGAACCAATAGGAACAAAACGTTCTAAAGTTAGTATAACCTAACCTGTGACAAGTTTGTTTGAAATCGCTTAATATGTGGATATAGCTTACATATATTTTTTCGCCCGATATCAAGCAAATTGGGCATCATACTCCTCATGTTAGTCAGATTGACATCAAATTTTGCACAACGTACAAAATTGAGCATAGAATTACGTAGTTGCGTTTTCTAGAAGTACAGACATAGTCAACCGGATGACCTATTTTTATTTGTTTGAAGTCGATTTACATACTTTATGGATAGATCTAGGTAGATTCACATGTAGATAAATATCACATATTTTATTTCATCCAATTTCATGTTAATAGTCCTGTTTAATGTACCCATAGTGGTGAAGGGTATCCTAGAGTCGGCCCCGTCCGACTTTACTACTTTCCTTACTGGTTTTAAAAGAGTATTTTTTCGAACTGACCCAAGCCGTGGATTTTTTAAAGGAATATTTTTTTCGCGGACAACTAAGGTGTGGACTTTGTAAACGGAATTTTTTTCGAAGACAACTAAGTCGTGGATTTTGTAAACGGAAATTCTTTCGAAGACAACTAAGGCACAGATATATTATAAGAATATTTTTTTCGTATTGAACTAAGATGCGGATTTTTTAAAAGAATATTTCTCAAAGCCATCTATAAATAATTTTAGATTTTCTAAATTTGTACAACAATGACTGGGCAATAAATTAATAGCTGCCGAAACCAACATCAGCGCCATTTTCATTCCATAATAAAGCACACTTTTGAACGGCTGCAATTTTGTCAAGTCATTTTGCGGTTGGAAACCCCTTTCATATGTGTGGGTGTTATTTTTCGCAACAAAGTATAGTGCGTCTTATCATCAACACCTGTCCTCATGAAAATCCCATTAAACGATTTATATTTTTTTATTGATTAGTTTTTTCTCATTCTCTGATAATTTAAAACACGAGTCAAATTTGTTCCAAAAATAAAACAATAATTTTAGAACAATAGCCTATCAGGGTTTCATCGTGTGCAAGTTGATGATATGCGATGACTATCGGTGGGGCGACGGAGTGAAAGAATTTGTTTAATTAGAAACCTTTAAACGCCGTTGATCAAATCTGAAGTCCCGCTAAAATGCCTTATCAGAAACAGTTGAAATGATCTCTCTCTCTTTGGCATTACGGTTTTTTGGAGGGCAACCTATACATATTTATATAGAAAATGTTTCATATTGGTCTATGCTGGGAAATAGCCCCAAATTGAAAAATATCGCCCATTTTTCCATATTTTGAAGGACTTAGGCGCATTTTCTTGGCGAAAGGAGCTGTAATATGGCATTTCGTTTTCTCGAGGGTTTAAGATTAGCCCTATTCAAAGTCCCGTTCCAATTTAGGTTTTGCCCCTTTTATGTTGCTCTTGGCTCCATTTTAGATACTTACTTACTTAGCTGGCTTGTTACAGAACGGTTGTTTCATAAGCCGAGCTTAAAAAAAGATTTCCAAGCGCGTCGGTCTTGTGCGCAAGTCCACCAATTTGGAAGACCACGTTCCACGATGTTGTTTTCTACTTGGTCTTTCCATCTAATTCGTGGCCATCCCCTTCTACGGGAACCATCAGTAGGCTCATTTTTATATGCCTTTTGAGCTGGGGCATTTTCATTCATCCGCACAACATGGCCTAGCCACCGTAGTCGCTGCAGCTCAATACGACTGACTATGTCGATGACCGCGAATAAATTGTAAAGCTCATGGTTCGCGAATAAATTGTAAAGCTCATGGTTCATTCGACGCCGATATTCACCGTCGACGCAGATCGGCCCGTAGATCTTTCGGAGAAATTTTCTCTCAAACACCCCAAGAGCTGCCTCATCTGCTTGCGCAAGTACCCATCCTTCTGATCCATATAATAGCACGGGTAGTATCAGCGTCATGTAAAGTGTGAGTTTGGTTTGGCGGGAAGTGGCCTTGTTTCTAAACTGCTTACTTAGACCATAGTAGCATCTGTTGGCCATCACAATCCTTCTCCGAATTTCAAAACTGATTTCATTTGTTTTATTTATGGCGGTACCAAGGGGTATATAAAGTCTTTAACTACCTCGAAGCTGTAGTTCTCAAGTTCCACAGTTGGTCCGAGTCTACTGGACGTCTTGCGCGTTGATACCATCAGTTTGGTCTTCTCGCCGTTTACTGCCAGACCCACTTTGGGTCTGGCAATTCGTTCAAAGGTGTCTATTACCGCTCGCAATGTTCGACTAATTATGTCAATGTTGTCGGCATTTCTGTTGATAGAGTGTCATTTCTGTTCACCTTTGCATCTCGTATGACCTTTTCCAGCACGATGTTGAACAGGTCACACGACAAACTGTCACCTTGTCTGAATCCTCGCTCGGTATTAAAGGGCTCCGAGATGTCATTTCCGAATTTAACTTCTAACCTTGTGCTAGTTAAAGTTACACTGCATAGCCGTATTAATTTTGCAGGAATGCCGAACCCCGACATGGCTTTAAACACCTCTGAATGGATAGGGCTCATTCACACAGCACACTGGATAGCACATTATATGCGATTTTAGATATTGTAGATATTAAGTCAGCATCACAGATTTTCCAAGGGCTTGGTCACCTTCTAGTACACGATGTATGAATTCTTCCGATTTGTAGTTCCCTAGGTAGTCACGTGCATAATTCTTCACGACCTTTCGGTGTTTCTTAATTTTGTTGAGGTCTTGGTCGATATATCTCTGATAATAGCAGATTGTTCTCTAATATACTGGAAGACAGTGCCTATTTTGACCTAGCAATTTTGAGTACTTTTTATACCCTTCAGCACACTGTGTTACAGGGCATTATGTCTTTGGGCATATGTTTGTAACAGGCAAAAGGAAACGAGATAGACACATGGTTCCTTTTGTGAATATGCATAGAATCACTTTCTGAGTCGATTTACTCATGTCCGTCTGTCCGTCCGTCCATGTATTTTTGTTAACAAAGTACAGGTCGCATTTATGATCCGATTTGGATGAAATTTGGCACAGTTCACTTATATGGCCCAA